AAACTGATAGATTATATAGGAATGAGTGGTTGTGGGAAACAGTCAGGTTGCAGTACAAGGGTTGAAAATAACAGATATAACCAGGATACCTCAGGGATATGTTTAAAAGACAATATTCAGAATAAAGTTGCTTGTAAAGGCAAATCAATTGATCAACAAATAAAGAGAGATAATAGAGGGCAACGAGAGACTAGCTTCCTTAAGATTTACTATACAAATATTAGGAGTCTAAGAAATAAGATAGATGAGCTAAGATTACTTGCAAGTGCAGGTAATATAGATATTATTGCTATAACAGAGGTCTGGTTCAACCTGAAAGATAGAGAAATACCTTTTGAATGCGGCATACAGGGTTATAAACTACTCCATACTGATAGGGTCAATAGGAAGGGTGGTGGAGTGGCGATTTATATCAGTGATAATTTAAATTGTTGTCTTAGACATGATATAAGACAAGAAACATCTGACACAGAATCTTTTAGGCTGCAATTTCTCAAGGATCGTGAAAAATTAATTCTGGGTGTGATTTATAGGCTCCCAAACTTTGATAGGGAGTGCAGGAGGCTGCTATGGGACGAAATTCACAAGGCTTCTAGATATGATAATGTTGTGTTAATGGGAGGTTTTAACTTTAGACAAATTGATTGAAACAATGTGAAAGGAAATCTTGAGTGTAGTGAATTTCTTGATATGGTTCAGGATTGCTTTTTAAAAGTTTGTGGCAGAACCAACTAGAGGAAACAATCTGCTTGACTTTGTTCTTGCCAACAAAGAGTCACTAAATAACTAAATAACAAAAAGGCACAATACCGTGAGGTTAATGATGAACTTGGGGAAAGAGATCACAAATCACTTAGTTTCAATAAATTACTGAATTACCCAATAAATTGCAATCAAATATCTGTCCCAGATTTCTGCTTGGCCGATTTCATGGTACTGAGAAATTATCTGGGTGGTCTAAATTGGGATAACCTGAGTATGGGTCAGGTAGGTGGTGTTGGTTGCCAATATGATGTTTTTCAGAACATAGTTCTAGCTGCTCAGACAACTTTTGTACCGAGTAGCAAAATTAGATCTAACAAAAATGATCCCAAATAGATGAACTATAGATTAAAACATTTCATTGACCAAAAGAGATGAATATTTAGGCGTATCAAAAGAGGGGATGGACAGTTAAGAAATAAATATATTCATTTAAAGAGAGAAATATAAAAAAGGAATAAGAAAAACAAAAAGGGATCATGGGGCTAAAGTCACAAGGGATTCGAAGACTAACCCAAAAGGGACAAGATAGGCTCACTTAAGAGAAACTCAGGTGAGATAAGGTGATAAGGAAATGTGTGAAATTTCAATACTTACTTCCTTCCAGTTTTTACTCAGGAAGATACAAGCGAAATTCCAGCAACATTAAATTATGTAGAACAGGACGATAAACTATGCACAATTGCGGTTACTAGTGATATGGTCCTCAGACAAATAGATAAATTTAAATCTAAAAAATCCCCAGGCCCTGATGAACTATTTGCAAGAGTTTTAAAGGAATGTAGAGAAAAACTTAGCAAACCTTTGGCTAATTATTTCAACACATCACTACAAACTGGCATTCTGCCTGATAAGTGGAAAATGGCAAATGTAATACCTATTTACAAGGCAGGTGACAGGTCCTTAGCTTCGAACTATAAACCAATAAGCCTTACCTCAATAGAGGGAAAATTTATGGAATAAATAATTGCCAAGGCAATTCTTAGCAATCTTGAAAGGCATAAATTGATTAATGAATCTCAACATGGTTTTACTAAGGGGCGTTCCTGTCTTACGAATTTACTAACTTTCTTCACTAAGGTATTTGAGTAGGTAGATTATAGTACTGAATATGATATTGTTTATATGGACTTCAGTAAGGCTTTCGATAGAGTTCCACATAAGAGGCTATTGAGCAAACTTAAATCACTCGAAAAAGCAGGAGAAATTTTTTCCTGGGTAGAGGCATGGTTGACAAATAGACAGCAGAGAGTCTGCATAAATGGGGAGAAATCAGAATGGGGGCAAGTCACAAGCGGTGTTCCACAGGGGTCAGTGTTGGGCCCTTTGTTGTTCACAATTTTACATAAACGACACAGATGTGGAAATAAATAGTGACATAAGCAAATTCTCTGATGACACCAAAATAGGCCATCCAATTCATTCTAATGAGGACATTAGAGCACTCCAGGAAGATTTGAATAGCCTGATGCAATGGTCGGAGAAATGGCAGATGCAGCATAATATAGACAAATGCAAAGTTCTAAATGTTGGTCATGAAAATAACCATGACACATATAAACTAAATAATGTAGATTTTAATATTACTGATTACGAAAAGGATTTAGAAGTTTTGGTTAGCAGAAATATGAAGCCAAAACAACAGTGCATTAGTGCTCACAATAAAGGTAACAGGGAATCCTTGCTTTCTTTATTTCAAGAAGTATAAATAATAGAAGTCCTCAGGTTGTTCTTTAACTCTACATATCTTTTGTTAGGTTTCATTTAGATTGTACTGTACAGTTTTGGTCACCATAATACAAAATGGCTATAAATGCTCTGGAAAACGTACAGAGGAGGATGACTAAGTAGATCCCATGTATCAGGAGTCTTCCCTATGAGGATAGAGCCGGATAGATGGGGGCCCCTGAATCTGTAGCTCACTCGCTAGGAAGGCGCAGAATTAGTGGGGATATGATCGAGGTGTATAAATGGAATACAAAAGTAAATAAAGTGGATGTAAATAGCATGCTGAAAATATCCAGCCAAGACAGGACTCGTAGCAATAGTTTTAAGTTGGAAACATTCAGATTCAGTAAGGATATAGGAAAGCACTGGTTTGGTAATAGAGCTGTGGATGAGTGGAACAAACTCCCAAGTACAGTTATAGAAGCTAAGACGTTGTGCAGTTTTAAAAATAGGTTAGATAAATACATGAGTGGGTGTGGGTAGGTGTGAGTTTGACCTGACTACCTTGTGCTACTAGATTTTATGCCATGCTCCTTCCTTAAGTGGAAGTGACCTGACTAGGTGGGTCATTCGTCTAATCCAGAAAGTGACATGGATCTGCATCGCATGGGTCAATAAGCTGTTTGCTGTGTTCTTCTTTTAATGTTCTTATGAAATCTGCATGAGAGTGTACTCCAGTGCAAAACACTGCAAGACTTAGTTGACTTCAACAAAATTTGTAAAATGGGCGCTAAGGATAAACAATATGAAGTTCAAAGGAACAGAAATTTCTTTTACTCATTATGGAAAATGTGAGAAATTAAATATGTATCAGAGTATAAACAATTTCCAAACCAAAACAAATAGAGTAAACAACTACTGTAAAGGACCCCCTGGGAGTGATATTGTCAGAGATCTCACTTTCAGAGACCAACACATTTGTATGAATGGCCAGCTGCAAGGAAAATGACAGGGTGGATAATGAGAACCTACAAAACTAGGGATGCCAAGCCCATGATGACACTTTCCAGGTCCCTTATTCTATCCAGGCTAGAATATTTCTGTGCATTTCAAGGCAGGTGAAATTGCTGGCCTAGAAAATGTACAATGAACCTTCATGGCACACATAAGTACGATAGAACACCTAAATTACTGGGAAATGTTGAAGTTCCGTGACTTGTATTCCCTGGACCGCAGGCGGGAGAGATATATGATTATATACACTTGGAAAATACTAGAGGGATTAGTACCAAATTTGTACACGAAAATCACTCCCTATGAAAGCAGATGACTTTGCAGACGATGCAACATTCCCTAATGAACAGATAGGGGCACCACTAGCACGATAAAAGACAGCACAATAAGTGTCAGGGGCCAAAGACTGTTCAATTGCTTCCCAGCATACATATGGGGATTACCAATACATCCCTGACTGTCTTCAAGAAGGCTCTTGACATGCACCTATAGTCAGTACCTGATCAGCCAGACTGTGGTTCTATGACAAGGCCTCATGGCCTTGTCATGGACCGGGCTGCGGGGCATTGACCCCCGAAACACTCTCCAGGTATACTCCAGGTATACTCCAGGTATACTCCAGGTATGTTGGACCCACCCACCATCATGAATCGTGCTCTTTCACCAATATTTTCACTGACACTCTACCACATTTAAATAATACTGTCACTAAATTTAATTTCTTAATTACTCTCATTTAAAACATATATTTCTACCATATTTCTCGAGGTGTTTGTCTTGAACTGTCTATATAGAATTATCTTGAAATACTGTTTTTCTTGATACATCATCTGAATTATTACACTTTACAGTATTTAATACTTTTTCACTAAATCATCACTCCACCCACCAGCTACATGAGATGTTATATATAAGTCCTTAAACATTATCATATAATGAATCACTTTATTTTTCTTCAATGAGAGATACTCTTCTGATAAGTTCACTTATTAAAGTGCTTTGTTTTTCTCATCAAAGATCCTGCACATCTAAGATGATTCACACTTACGTTCACACTGATCACATCTATTACTCTCCACATACTTGTGTTCACACCATTCAGTATATACTACCACCTCGACACTTTTCATATTCTGCGCCTGTTCCATAATGTTTCTGAATGTCACCTATTCTCATGTTCCCTATTTTATTTAATGACTGGAAGAGGTATATTCACTAGGGTGATGTAGTGCCGGGAAGTGTGAGGTAATTATGTTTAATACAAAGTAAATATGATCTCATCTTACAAGATCAACAAACATTATTCAAACATTTTAACACAGCAGAGAACCAGTGAAGTTAAAATTAATTTAACCTTCAGTAAATGTACAGATGAACCAGAAGATAATTATTATATATAATAGAACTCACCATATAATAAATAGGCAGAGATGTGTCCCAATAACTGGATCTGACCCATAATAAATATAACTGGGTGAACCATAATAAATATAACTAGATCTAAACCATAATAAATGTAACTGGGTGAAACATAAGTGCAAGATAATTATTCTTACCATAACTGATGAGCTGAGAGTATTTGAAAATGCTGGAACAGGAAACGATGGTATAAGTGGTCAGTAGTCTAGAAGTGGACCTGGTGGTGATGTCGCTTCTGGCTGGTGGTCATGCAGGGGTACTGGTCGTAGTGGTGACTGGTAGGTGATCCAGCAGTAGTACTGGTCGTAGTGGTCGTAGTGTTAAGTTGCACACTAGTGGTAGCAGACGTTATGTTCTTCTAGCTGATAGTCAATAAAACTGTATTAGTGAAAAATATATAAAATATATGATATATATTTCATAAATATGCTGAGAATAATTTATATTATTGTGTTGGTGCTAGGGAAGATAGGAATAAGACAGGTAAACATGCACCAACAGGGAATACAGTCACAGAAACCCAAGGCAAACGGAAACCAAGCCTGTGCACATACTATGCACTTGGTATCTGCAGACATGGGAAATCTGGAAAAACAGATGGGACGTGCAACTATGACCACCCTAGAAAATGCCATGCCCATATGACAACAGGAAAATGCAAACTCCCTTCCTGTAAGCTTTTTCACCCTGAAATGTGTACCTCTTCAGTACAGGAAAGACTGTGCTATAACTTAAATTGTCAGGCACACCATCTAAAGGGGACAAAAAGATACAAAACATTTCCCGGCCATGGGAAAACCTGGGTAGCACAGCCACTCAAGAGGGAGAGGTTTTTTAGTGCCAGAAGGAAACAAAAACTGGCAGGAAAAAGGCAAAAATTGTAGACCAAAACCAGTCATTCCTGGAGTGGAACCACAGTCGATGGCCTCCACTCCAAACCAACAGATACAGATACTAATGCCGGAAAAAAATCCCCCCCAGTACCAACAAAACCACCAGTCCCATGACATTCTTCTTTTCAAATATACAGGGTCTAAAGCCAGCAACAAACAACAATACATTTTATCCGTGGAATGCTTGCAGAGGCAAAGGCAATGTTCGCGGGTTTCACTGAGACCCCATAAAGGATCACTTGGATAACGAAATATGAATCCCCGGTTACAACCTATACAGTGTGACAGAGTGAACAGGCAAAAGGGGGGAGTTGGCCTGTACATTGCAGAATCACTTGTTTGCACAGAACTGCTTAATGCCTCAAATGATGTAGTGGAAGTTTTAGCAGTAAAGGGGCGAGAACCAAAACCTAGTCATTGTGGTAGTCTACAAGCTCCGGATGCAACATCCAGCAATTCCAGGAACAGCTGTTAAAAATTGACCCCTGGGGAAAAACTTCCAGCTCCTGCACCCCAAAATCTTGCCCTGGGGGATTTCAACTAAGGCACTTAAAATGGAGGAATATAGGGAAATAATATTGTTGCAGTAATAACACAAGGAGGCAGCTCTGATGAAAACTCACACTCACACGGCTTTTAAAAACTCTGCACAAATTCAATTTAAACCAGCAAATAATAGAGCCCAACTAGAATGGAGAATACACTAGACCTCATGTTCACTAACAATGATGATCTGATAAGAAATGTCACCATATCAAAAAACAATATACTCATCACAACATAATTGAGGTTTTAGACATGTATGCGCGGAGCCCCAGACCGACAAAATGAGATTAGTCACGAGGAGCATTCACCATATTCAACTTCAATAACAAAAACATAAAGTGGGACCAAGTAAACCAAGTCCTAACGATATAAGCTGGGAAGATATACTAAGCAACACAGACCCCAACTTATGCCTAGAACAGATTAACTTGGTGGCACTCGATGTATGCACAAGACTTATTCCTCTAAGAAAAAGGTGGAGTGGATGTAAAATTAAAAGAGACAGGCGCTCTCTTTACAGGCGACGGAAAAGAATAACAGAGCGGCTAAAAGAGGTCAATCTATCTGAATGCGTAGGGAGACACTGGTCAGAGAAATAGCAAACATCGAACTTAAGCTAAAGGAATCTTATAGGAGTCAGGAATCGCGGGAAGAACTAAAAGCCATAAATGAAATCGAAAGAAACCCAAAGTATTTCTTCTCCTATGCCAAATCAAAGTCGAGAAACAACGTCAGTATTGGGCCCCTACTTAAACAAGATGGGTCCTACACAGATGACAGCAAGGAAATGAGTGAGCTACTCAAGTCCCAATATGACTCAGTTTTTAGCAAGCCACTAACCAGACTGAGAGTCGAAGATCAAAATGAATTTTTTATGAGAGAGCCACAGAATTTGGCTAACACAAGCCTATCTGATGTTATCCTGACGCCAAATGACTTCGAACAGGCGATAAATGACATGCCCATGCACTCTGCCCCAGGGCCAGACTCATGGAACTCCGTGTTCATCAAGAACTGCAAGAAGCCCCTATCACGAGCCTTTACCATCCTATGGAGAGGGAGCATGGACACAGGGGTCGTCCCACAGTTACTAAAAACAACAGACATAGCGCCACTCCACAAAGGGGCAGTAAAGCAACAGCAAAGAACTACAGACCAATAGCACTAACATCCCATATCATAAAAATCTTTGAAAGAGTCCTAAGAAGCAAGATCACACCCATCTAGAAACCCATCAGTTACACAACCCAGGGAAACATGGGTTTAGAACAGGTCGCTCCTGTCTGTCTCAAACTATTGGTTCACTACGACAAGGTCCTAGAACATAGAAGACAAAAGAATGCAGATGTATATATACAGACTTTGCAAAAAGCCGTACGACAGTCGTGACCAGGCGTCAAAGCGCACAAAATGCGTGCTAAAGCATAACAGGTCAAAGTCGGTCGATGGATCTCTAATTTCCTCACTATCAGAACACAGAGAGTAGTAGGCTACATGTGTAAAGTCCGAGGCAGGCACGGTGAAAAGCTCGGTTCCACAAGGCACAGAGTACTCGCTCCCATTTGTTCCTACATCCTATATCCGACATTAGAAAGGATGTCAAGCCTTGCACCGTGTCTTCCCTTGAAGATGACACCGAATCTGCCATGACCAGTGTCTTCCATTGCAGACTCTGCAAGGCTCCAGGCGGACATCAACCAAATCTTTCACGTGGTCTGCAGGAAAACAATATTGAAGTTCAACATGAGAAATTTCAATATCTGTATGGTATTACAGAGGAAATTAAGTCTTCATCTGAGTTACAAAACCTAATTCTGGCCACAAATATAGAGCGAAACACCAACGTCACAAAGACCTGGGAGTGATCATTGTCGGAGGATCGCTACCTTCAAGGACCATTTTACATTGTCTCAATCGCATCCTGCTAGTAAAAGAAAAAATGACAGGTGGGATAATGAGATCGTCATAAAGAGGGATGCAAGCCCCCATGATGACACTCTTCAGGTCACTTGTTCTATCTAGGCTGGAATATTGCTGCACACCTAACAGCACTTTCCAAGGCAGGTGAAATTGCTGACTAGAAAATGTACAGAAGGAACCTTCACGGCGCGCCATAACGGGATTAAAACACCTCATTTACTGGGAGCGCTTGAGGTTCCTGAACCTGTAATATCCTGGCAAGGCAGGCGGGAGAGTTACATGATTATATACACCTGGAAAATCCTTAGAGGGTCTGTACCGAACTTGCACACAAATAAATCACTCACTACGAAAGCAAAAGACTTGGCAGTCGATTGAAAAATCCCCAATGAAAAGCCAGGGGTTCACTAGCACGTTTAGAGACCATATCAATAAGTGTTTTGGGGCCCGACCGAGTCTGTTCAACGGCCTCCAGCATACATAAGGGGGCATTACCAACAGACCCCTGGACTGTCGTCAAGCTGGCATGGAGAAAGCACCTAAAGTCGGTTCCGGATCAGCCGCGGCTGGTGGCTCGTAACGTTGGTTTGGGTGCTGCCAGCAGCAATATCCAAAAAAAGGGGCCTGGTTGTTCAGGCTCCTTGATCCACCAGGAGGCCTGGTCACGACCGGGGCGCGGGGGCGTTGACCCCCTGGAACTCTCTCAGGTAAACTACAGGTTTGCCAGAACTGTGTTATGATTTCAAGTTTTGTTGTCAAACTTTAACTCTTAATTACTGTCCTTTACTTTCTTAATTCCACAAGACAAGTTATAATTTAGTTTATTATGAAATATCTGTAATATTCCATTGTTTAACAATGAGTCTTGACTTTCGAAATATTGAATATTAATTGTGTACATACCAGGTCATAACTTTGTAAAATATCACGTCATAAACTTTGTAATAAGCATCATAACTTTGTAAATACTGAGCCTAACTTTGTAAAATACCGGGACTACTAATCTTTGTAAGTCTGAGTCTAAACTTTGTAATATCTGAGTCTTAGCTTTATAAATACCGTATCTTATCTTTGTTAAATACCGTGTCATAACTTTGTAAATACTGAGCCCTTAACTTAGTGAACCACTGGGGTCTTTAACTTTGCATAAAATACCGAGTCTTAAAATTTGTTAATTACCGAAGTCTTACTTGCTTTGTTATAATGAATATTAACTTTGTAAAAACTGTACCTAAAACTTGTTATATACGAACCTCAGTTGGGTATTACTTAATCTTAAGCTTAATACTGGACATTTTACGTCGTATACTAGCACTTAAATCTGTATTTATATAGACCAATTAGCTTATTAAAAATGTGGATCACTCACTAGAGACAGGATTCTCTTCCTTGCTCAGGTGAAAGATGGGTTGTGTTTCCTTACACTGTTGTGCCTGTTCACCCTGCATTAAGTAGGTAATGAGTATTAATCACGTTACACCTGCTCTACCGGATTCCACCTAGCTGTCAGACGGTACCTGGATGTTAGGTCTCCTTACACCTTGCTGTCCGGTTCACATAGCATTAAGTAGGCACTGGGCATTAGTTCCTCACCCCCTTTAACACATGCTGTACTTGCACACCTATCAGGATGTCCTGGGTGTTAGGTCAACGTACACTTGCTACAGTTGTTCAAACTTGCAGTAAGAGGTACATAGGTGTTGCCAACTTACACTCTGATACAGTTGTTAAACTAGCAGTAAGTAGGTACCTCAGTGTTAGTTACCTTATACCCACCTTTCCTGTTCATTTACTAGTAATTAATAACCTGAATGTTAATTTATAATTGCTGTATCTGTTCTCTCCTGATCAACAAAATGAGATCAGTTATGAAGGCGCCTTCATCAAATTCAATTTCAATAGCAGAAACATCTAGTGAGACCAAATTAACTATGTCGTAAGTGAAACAAGCTGGGAAGATATCCTAAACAACATGGATCAGAACCTTTGCAAAGAAAAAAGTAACATTGTGGCACTTGAGGTAT